GACCCTGTATTATTCATATAAGACTTCTATAAGATTCCTTTAGGAAATCTATAAGACTTCTTTAAGATATCTTTAGAATTACTAAAAGAGTTCTATAGGATTCTTATAAGACGCCTATATGATCCCAAAAAGAAATCTGTAAAAGTCTTATAAAATATCTATAAGATTCCTAAAAATATCTACAGGTCCTATATAATTCATATAAGACTCCTATAAGATTTCTATAAGGTATCTATAACCTTCCTATATCATTCATATAAGACTCCTATAAGATTCCAATAAGATATCTATAAGATTCCTATAGATTTCATATAAGAAACCCATAGGATTCCTATAAGATACCTATATAATTCATATAAGATTCTATAAGGTTCCTTTAGAAAATCTATAAGATTCTTTTAGGCATTCTGTAGGATTCCTATAGGATAACTATAAGATTCCTATTTGTTTCATTTAAAAATCTTACAGTTTTCCTATAAGATTTCATTAAAAATCTTATAGGAAACATATTAAAATTCCTAGAGGATTCTTATACGACTCCTATATGATTCCTATAGGATTCCCAAAGGATATCTATTGAAATAATCCTATAGGATCCTATAGATGTGACAAAAAATATATAAGATTCCTATAGGATTTTCTCTTATAGGATCCTATAGGACATTTTTGTAAGGGTATAGGGCCTAGGTTTGGTCAAAAGCCTAATTTTTGGCAAAATCTGCGCGGAACTCATTTTTCGAAATGCGCCGACAGATTTCATCTAGGCCTAGGCTCTATGCCACATTTTTGCGCGGCGGATATAGGCAATTCTCCGCGCAGGCCACTACTATACTACGCCGTACGGTACTAGGCTACAACAGTCTGGCATAGCTGGGCCTAGGCCAGGCCCCTTTCTACACTGAATGTTGCCCTAAATCAGAGTAAAATAATTTAACGTGAATATTCAGAAGAATACTATGTTATTGTGTACATACCTTCAAACACATTCCAATAAAAAACGAGAAAAATCAATTAAACTCTTCATTTTCTTTCAACATCGAGACACAGAAAATGGCGACACTAAACTTTTTTCTCGAATAACGCGGGCTCTTCCATAATGCTTTGTGATAGGATCAATTTAACTCTCTGATAGATGGGTTATTTTAACTCTGCCATTATGCATTGCGATAGGATCAACTTTGCTCTCTGTGGATGGGTTAATTTAACTCTGCTATAATTCATGCGATAGGATCAATTTGACTCTCTGTGGATGGGTTATTTTAACTCTGCTTGTTTTACTCTAAACATGAAGTTAAATTAACTCCAGCAACCCAAATACTGGAGTAAAAATTACTCCAACATTATAACCTTGCATAAGTTTGGAGTGAAATGAGAGTAAACTTAAGGTTTACTCCCCTAAGGAGTTACTTTAATACCATTTAAGGAGTTAAAATAACTCCCAAAAAATAACTCCCCCTTTGGGGGTTATAACTACCCCACAGGGGGAGTTACAATAACTCTTCAGAATTAACAGTGAATATATAAAGATGATAATAAATATTTTAGAAAAACGTATTCCCCCATTGGGATATGGACCCAAGACCTTCCTATTACCGTTTAGATGCTCTACCAACTGAGCTATGAGACCAAGTGATATACATCCTTGTGTTTTCCCATTAGGGAAAGTTTTTTTTCTCATGGTATAATTAAGAAATATTAAAATTTGGGTTTGGTTAAGAGAAAAATATTTTTAGCCCATACCGAAATGCAGCACTGCAAGATTTGCAAGCCGTAGAAGTTTAAGCGGCGCTTTAACTGTTCTGCACCAAGTTAAATCAAAGCACATTCTTAGTACTCTTCTCTGCATTCGGATCTTATGCCATACAGGGCATGACAGTAGGTATAATCTACTGAGGTTTGCGCTACATGAGTCGATTCAGATTTATTTGGTCTTTTCGGAAACTAATATATGCAAAATCGCTCAACAGTATGTGTCCAGTTTTTTATGACTAGCATTAACATAAAATTTTAATATTAACAATGTATTTCATAGTTAAGTTGTTATAGTATTCCCAACAACACTAATTACTTTTACTTTTGACATTTTCTGGTCTCGAACACATACTAAAATTTGATTATTTACAGGTTCAGTTCTAATAATAATTAAAGTATGTTTTATTATATACATACAAAAGTCTAAAATTATATTAGAACATACTATTTAGTAAAATATGATAAATACTAAAATCGCCTGTCAGTGTAGAATGAGATGGTACAGTACCATATATTCTCGCGTTTAACAAGACTTTAAACAACTATTTACGGGGGGAGGGGTCATCTTATATGCACAATACAATTTATTTTATTTTTCCAATTATGTTCGTATAATAACCGGATCATCTGTAACACACGAATTTACTACTGAAATGAAGGTACTTTTAACATGAATTAACGCATTTTCTTTTAAATTGGGGGTGAGGTGTCGTCTACAACATAATGTACTGTACCTTGGTACTATTAAATATCATTGTTCTAATAAAAAATTTAAACATTGGTATTTTTTCCATCAACGTATATGCCACAGAATATGCGAACCATTCCATCATTGTCAACTTTAAATGAGCTCGGCTTTGTTTATTCATTAAAATTAGAAATCAAGTTTGCAACAGTAAATAGTTTTTAAAAGTTGGATTGTTGAAATGGCCTACATATAGCTTTCATGACTAAATTCCGGTCAGGAGTTTTTTTTTTTTTCATTACTTTCAGAAAATAATTATTATTACCACCATTTGTCTTTTAAAGAATATTTGAGGAATACGGTTAATTTGTAGTTCAAATTGGAGTTCTAATCATCACTTTCAACATTTCGGCAAACGCATATTGCAAAGAGCATACAAAGAAGTTCTACAACGGCAAGTCCAATGCCTCCGGCTCGGATCCAATTAATGTACTCGTCAATCAAATCAGCCACAATCTTTTTACAACCTTTGCCGTGATACGTAGCCGTGTCCATGTCCATTGTGTCATCGTTATCCCATGAATCCATACATCCACTGGGATCATCTGCATTGTATGTCGGATTAGAAGCTCCAACACAGCAAGTCTCGGGGAAGTCTGGGAAACCGGGGTACATATTGGCACTCTTATATAAGGAATAATCATCTCCCGTGTTATTATAGTCTGCTCCGCCATGATACCCACAGCATTCCAACGTCGCCTCAGCTAACCTCCATGCGCTGGTCAACTCATCTGCATATTTTCCGTTCCCGTAAGCCATCCTGAAACCATCGAGCATATTCTCATCAAGCGAATCTTCAATATCCGTAGAGTAAATTGAAGCTAGGATTCCAGCAGTTATCTGTACACAAAATATAATCAGGAGAACCATGAAGTAAATAACCAGAAGGTACCTGCATTCCGTGAGGGCGCCGCAACATCCACAGAACGCCATAAGGAAGATGATGGCTCCTGCTCCGATGAGAATGTAGGCACTGTATTCCAGAAGCTCATCATTATTGTTCCCCAACGTGGCCACATCATCAACCGGAATCCATGAGTGAAGCCCAAAGTGTAGTATTATTGCGAGAGCTAAAAGTCCCGCTCCACCAATCCAAATTATGAAGTTGAATACAAAAAGCAAGTATTTCATACAGCGCATTCCACACCCTTCCATTTTGACGATTTAAAAAAAAATTTCCTATGAGAGCAAAATATCTGTTCCAAATGACTTAAATGTACGTCAACTGATAGAAACTGACACGGGCTTTGTTTGTTCTCCGTTAGTCATGTATTGTTTGTCTAACCGTTACTGTAAGCGAATCCAGCAAAACGTCGATTTCTGGGGTAACGTTATCCAATGGAGCATACTTCAATCTTTTATTATTATGCAGTAGAGTATAAATACAGGTCGTCACATCTGTCAAAAATTCAAACCTTAAGCAAAGTGGGCTACTGCATCACTTCACGCAATGCTGCACCATTGATGCTCTTCTACACTGTTATCTTCATTTAAAACCTCTAATTCAAACCAAAGCTGCTAAAGACCATTATTTATATACCCCCGGTTCAAATAATAGAGTTTCACTAGAGGGACGTGTTTCTATTATCAAACCATTTAGTTTATATTTAATCAATGTAGTGAACAAAAAAATAATTGATTTTTACATCATCATACAAATTTGATATGTACACCTTTCAACAATAGTTAGTCCTATTATTTTTGTTTTAGAAACAAAATATCAAGAGATGTAATAATGATTTGAGAAAAATATAAATCTATTAATAGTACAGTAATGATTTAGGAAAGAGAAAATAATTCCAATTTAATTTTTGCTGAGCTATAGAGCAGATTAATCCAAATTTTTTTTAAGGAATTACTGAAGCATATCCCTGTTGATGGATATTATTATTATTATGCAGAGGAGAGGGAATGTGACCTGAAAGGTCATTAATTTATTATTATTTACATACTATTTTTTCTCAAATATATATTATCTTTAATAAACACCAGTAGAATTATATCTATATACCAAAGTTACTTTCATGTGATTTATTTGTTTTAATATTCATTAGTGTTTCAACCAACATAAGTGGCTTACAGTCACACAGTAAACCCCTCCTTTGCGACACCCCTATTGAGGGGACACACCTATTTAGGGGACACTTTTCCGTGAAACGAGGGGAAATATATCTTTTAACACTACAGCCAACCCCTATTAAGGGGACACCCCTATTAAAAGATCAGGGACACTTTCTGAGTGTGCCAAATGGTCAAATAACCCCTAGTAAGAGGACTTTAACTTTTTTTCATTGTATCACCTCCTTGGTATCACAACATCCACAGCACTGTAAACAACTTTACATTTTTACACCTTTTAAGCAATAAACCAGAATTTTCTCCCCTTAATCCATAAGTGAATATCAGTATAGACCTACTGCAAGTGTTACTTCGAAAACCAATCTTGATTTTGACACTTAACAATGGGGATTTCTTTTTCCTTGATTTTGTATATTGCATATATGATTCTAATCCATATCAAAACATATTACTCTATTTATGCTACATCCATCTAAATGAAAGCTCCAATGTGATTGTTGTTATTTGTAAATAAACCAGTATTTGTTTACCTTTTCAGGACATTTCACATACACATTATACACATATTAATTACGTTATACTATTTCAAACCATATGATGTTATTTGATCATTTAATAGAAAGCTCAATATTTAAAAAAAATAGTTTTAATTACATTCCTGCTGATTTCATATTAATGTATAAATGAATTGTATTTGCATTGCAAATTATTGCTATAAATTAGTTCTTATTCTACTGTAACTGATTCTTATGTCAATAAAAATAAAATTATAAAAAATTATGTCATCGTTATATGAAAACATGCCAAAAACCCCTATAAAGGGACAATTTTATGTTTTTGGTTAGTGTCCCCTGAATTACAATTACAAGTAGGCCTAGTACTACCGCAAATTAGAGGCCGTCGCCTGCACAGCACAATAGAATCACTATCTAACTCAACCAGCATGCAGTTAGCAAAGCGTATATAATGGAAAGATCCAAATAAAACTGTACGATCGAAGTGTGTACAAAATAAAATTAAACAATTTCAATAATTATAACACATAATCAATAGAAAGTATGTTTAATTTTGTTTAATTTGCATGCACAATTCGTTCTACCATGAAATAAAGGGCATAGGGCCTACCTCATAACAAAACAAAATGTAATCCTAAATGTTGATGTAAATAATTTTAAAAAAATACAGTTCAAGAATGCATTTTTTTAAACAATTGAAGGTTATATCTTGATCTTGTTTTCGGCAGGTTGTATCCCATGCTGCCCATTTTCGACCAGCCATGCTTTATTACCCTAGCTTTCCTCCGTAAACGTTGTAATAATAGTGGCTTATGCCATGTTACAGCCTTACCTCAGATACAAGTAGGTTGTGGCCCATGCTTACAAATTTACATTGCATGGATTCTATGATTATAGGTTCGCTACTATATATGAGCTTTTCTATGCATATTATACAAAGAAAAATCACAAAATATTATGACTCAGTCATTCTTAGGTTCTGTGATTTCGAAAAAGGCATATTTCAAAGTTTCAATATTCTTCCATGATTCCCTACATCCATTAGGATTGTCTGCATTGTAGTTCGGATATCTTGCAGAAAATTGAGGCCTTGATATACAGCACAAGTATACGATTCTGCGCATTATTTTTCTAGAGGTTTTTTCGTGCAATTTTAAGTTTTTGTACCCTCCGCAAATAAAATATATTTGAAATTAGTATTAGAATTGATTAAGATCTGCAAACAGGTACAAACGTACGATATGGTCGCCCAAATATGTGGTAAAACACATTCCTTCAAGGTGCATAGGACTTGATATGCATCAGCGGTTGTCAACAAGAGTTAAGCCATGGTTACCAGGGGCGGATTTAGAGAGGGCCGGGCCGGTCCCGCCTCCCCCCTCCCCTTTTGGAAAATCAAAAGAAAAAAAAAGAAAAAGAAAGAAAAATCAAAGATTTATCGCCCAGAAGGCCTTGAGAAGTTATTTTCGGGAGTCTAGGACACAGGAATTGATTTAGTTGTAGTTAGAACTTTGACTACGATGTCTGTGAATACAAATAGAAGTTTAAGTTGCAACAAGGACTGGTTAAAATTCTAGTTCGAAGTTCAACTATACCGTACTCGCGCTTATTTAAATGGGGCGCTTATGAAAACAGAGTGGAAATTGAGGGCGCTTATGGAAATAGATGAAAATTGAGGGTTTCTTATGGGAAATTAAGTTAGCTTGTTGGCCATCGGCCGATTGAGATTAGCAGGATGGCAGAATCATTGTATTTTTTCTTGAAAACTCAAATGAAAATGTGCTAAAGGTCGGAAAAAAAGACTAGGCATAGATAAATATGCAAAAAGAGTTGGAAATATACTGTCTGCCCAGGGATCGGAGCTCTCATCTGTCCAAGAGAAATATCATCATTTTGATATTGACCTAAAAAGAAGAATGTTATTCCATTCTGCAGCTCAAATCATGCCATTAACCACAGTCCCAGGATTGATTGGATTATTGACTTGCTAAAAAGAAAATTTATGATATAATTAAGGGGGCGCTTATTCAAACGGGGCGCTTAAGGAAATTTTCACGTTAGGAGGGGCGGTTATTCGAGAGAGGCGCTTATTCAAACGGGGCGCTTATTCGCGCGAGTACGGTAGTTCGTTTTAAGAATACGGGCATTATATGTGTTCCATATGTGTTTGATACAATGACCGGGGTAGTAATGTGAAGCGCTTAGAGGCTTTGTTAAGGCATTAAGCGCTATATAAGTACGACATATTGTTATTATTATTATTATTATTATTATTATATAGTTTATTGATTTTTTGCAAATTTCAGGCTTATAATGTTCCTATTTTGTTCTTATTTTACACCGTACTGTACAACCAGTTACCCTCTTGTTAGCAGAAAGACACAAGACTGTATGAGAACGGCTGGTTTGAGGAGGAAATTATACATTTTCGCACATGTTTAGCCGATAAGTATTTGTGTCGTTCCGTGATAGAGTTCAAATTACTTCACATCTGATGACATAAATTGAGTAAATATATTGTTAATATAACCTTTGTAAACATTAATTGATATTTTACTTTATGACTAGCTTTATGAAACAAGTGAATCGTCGATGATCAAAAACAAATGAGTCGACGATGAATCGCTGATTCTAAAGGATGCACAGGTTTCTAGCCTACTGTAGTGACGCCAGCAGTGACTTCACTAAGACATGGATTAAAATACGTTGGACGACGAGTATACCCCGTCTTCTTCCAGATTTAGTTAGTGTTATGATTATCCACTTCAAGTTGAAGGGTATTTTGAATATCAGTTAAAGAATTGGAGGAAGAAATATTGCTGTATTGTCAGCATACATAGACATTTTACAAGTTCGAACATGATTGGAAAGGTCATTAATATAAATATATAGTAAGGGACCTAAAATGGATACTCGTGGGACACTACGCCGAATGGAAGCTGGGGCAGAATTATTATTATTGATGCAAGGGACCTACCTCCTACCCGTTAGGTATGAGGCAAACAAAATACTTGAGCACAATCTCACCAAGACCTTGTTTTAAAACGTTTTTGATGAACTGTGTTGAACGCCTTTTTAAGATCTAGGAAATTTGCAATGTCAAGAATATAATTTCAATTTTAAGTTATTAAAAAATAACCTCCAAACAAAGATAAGCATACATAAAAACACTGGAAACAAAACATTGACTTAAATTATAAAAATTGTCAAATAATTTAAACACTGCACAAGGTCACTAAACTTGAATCTACGAGTCAGTAACGCTTGTTGCGTCGCACTTTGTAATAATCGTCGCACTCTGTAATAACTGTCGCACTTTGTAATGGAGTCTTTCACACTTCGAAATAACTGTCGCTGAAAATAAAATTGAACCTATTTGGGATTTGAACCCCAAAAACAACAATATAAAGTGCATAGTATCATGTTATTTGATGTTGATTATAACATAAACACATAAATAACATGCAAAAAGATAAACAAATGAATATTTCAAAAAAAAACAAATATAGGCCTAGGCCATAGACAAATAAAAATACACACATAAATAACATGAATAAATAAACAGACAAGCAAATAAATTAACAAGCAAACAAACATACAGATAAACAAACATACACATTCTGGTGTCACTAAGCATATCCTAGCCCTAGTCATGTCGTCAGCAGCAGATCAGGGTCAGACCTTATTGCTTCCTCGAAAAATGCAACCCTTTGAGAACATGCGCATCTTTAGAATCGATTTACTTGTTTCATTATCAACGATTCACTTGTTTCATTCATTTGGCAACAGGAATGTACTATTTGGTGATGGTTAGTGAGGGCAAAATTCAAAACCTAAATTTAAAGACGCAAATTCGTTTTTGGAACTTTGACTTTGATAAATACCGTACTTCA